AGGTAAGGACTTCAAAAGACAAAGAGGGATTTCAGAAAGTATTAAGAAGGTGGCACTGAAGAATAGGACTTAAGATATAAGAACGATGGGCTCTTAGGGATGAAGTGCCTTTGAGATCCAGAGAAATATGTATTTGCGTAGAAACTTCTAGATCTGAATAAGAGGTCTTGAAAATGAAAATGGAAAGAATGGGAGAACAATGCTCAAATGCAACTACTAAGTCAGATACCACAGGTAAGACATGGAAAAAAAGAGTATCAGTGGAGATGCCTATTAATTTACAGGAGACAATATTAAGAAGGATAATAGTATGCATAGCTTCAGATGCACAAAACTAAGTGTATAGAGCATGTATAATATGTGAAGTGAATTATCCAAAAACAGAGAGATAAGCACTGTTTTGTTGGCATTACTGAAACTTGGTAGGATGTAACTCATGATTAAAATACAGCAATAGAGCTCTATACTCTACTTAAAAAGAACAAATTAGAGGAAAGAGAGGCCCACTGCATTGTATATGCAGATAGTATATACCTAGGTATAAATCAATGTGCCAGACAAGGGAAGTGTGGCACAGAACATTTAGGTAAAAACCAGGGAGAAACAAGCAATATCAGGATAGAATTATACTATAAACCACTGGGCCAGGAGGCAGAACTGATGAGTTCTGGAAGGAGAGCACAAAATTAGCATGGAGACCTGCTATAGTAGTGATGTGAAATTCCACTATTAACATTATTAGAGGACTTTTTCTGATAAAAGCAGAGCATCTGAGCAATTCTTAATTTGCCTTGCTGATAATTTCATCCTTCAAAAGGATAAGAAGAATTCTGTTCTTAGCCTGGCTTTGAGCAATAAAGAGGAAGTAGTTGTTAAAGTAAAAATGATGGGAACCTTGAGGATGACGTGATTACACTACCTTAAAGTTCAAGATAGACAAGAAGAGGGCATCACAGGTCCAAGGACCCTCAGAGTTGGAATGGATCTCAAAGGCCATCTGCACTACTTGGAGTTGATGTAATGAAGGTAAAACATGACAGAAAGAAGGTAGACCTATTTAGCTCCTCTTTTGGTTGCTTTTTTTCTGCCAAGGAGAATTATTTTCAGATGTAGAAATATGGAACAAATAGATTTAACAAATAACTGAAACCTAAAATAAATGAAGAGATGATTTGAGACCACCATATCTTAACCAGTCTCAATGAATTTAAGTCCTCAGACCTAGACAAACTCTGTCCAAAGGTCCTGAAAGAATCTGAGGATATGACTGCTGGAACACTTGTCAGTGATCTTTGGAAAATTGTGGATAATTAGAAGGGTGTCACAGCACCAAAGACAGGAAAATAATGACAAATTAATATATGCTTGTTGATTGATTGATTGAAAATACTGTCTAGGCTCCAGAAAAGGGAAGAAGACTATAGCAAGTTTTCAGACTGTAGCAAGTTTTACTTGGATTTCAATAATACATTGTGAAAGGGGTCAGTTTTGAACACTAGGGGGAAAAACCTGGTGATGTCTTAAGAAGCAATATAGGATCATCAAGAACAAGTCATGAGCAGGGTGTGGTGGTGGGTACCTGTAGTTCCTGCTGTTGGGGAGGCTACGGCTGGTAGATCATATGAGCTCAGGAGCTCTGATTCTTACAGTAGTAAGACCAATAGTGATTTTTGTCTCTACACAAAGTCTGGCACCAATATGGATAGTACCTGGGGATGGAGGGCCACTGGGCTGCCCAAGGAGAGACAAAAAAAAAAAGTGGAACAGGTTAAAGTTCCTGTTTTGATCAGTGTTTGGATTAGGCTCTTGAGTGACACTGCACTTCCAGTTTGGATGAAATATTTGGCTCAATCAAAAAAAAGAATAAAAACAAGTCATGACAAACTAATCTCATTTTCCTTCATTACTGAGTTTATTAGACTGGTAGATAAGTGGAATGACATGCTGAAAATGTGCCTCAAGTTTAGCACATTATTTGAAGAATATTCTCTCATTATCCTTGTGGATAAGAAGAGATCTGGGCTGGATGAAAGTACAGCTTGTTAAGAGTCTAAACTAGTTGATTATATACAGAGTAGTGATATAAATCTGGAGGGAAATCCTTAGTGATTGCTTTGAGGATCTGTCCTTGGTGCCATTCTGCTGAACATTTGTACAAATGACTTGCGTGAGGATCTAGGTGGCAAGCTCATCACATTTGAAAATGTTCTAAAGCAGAGAGCAATAGCTGCTCCTTTGGACAGCAAAATTGGAGTCTAAACACATCCAGAAAGGCTTGAACTATGCCCCAAATAGAATAAAATAAAACTTAATGGGAATAAATGAAAGTCTTCATTTGAATTCATGGCCTGGCACATAGTAGGTGGTTAATAAAGTTTGTTGATTGAGTTAAAATATGCAGGATGGAAGAGATAATATAATACATGAGTCCTGTGGTTTTGGTAGACTGCAAGCTATATATGGGTCATTGTATGACATGGAAGCCAAAAAAAAATGTTTTCATCTTGATCTCCATTGTTTGGAGGACTAAGGAGGTGAGAATCTTGTTATCTGTCCTGGTGAGAGTTCTTCCAGAATATTGTATTTAGGTCTGAGTACCACATTTTGAGAAAGAATATTGATAAACTATACTGAATCCATGGGACAATAACACTAATGGTGATGGGATTGGAAATCAAGCCATAGGAGAACTGGTTTAAAGGAACTAGGGATGATTAGCTTGGAGAAGAGAAAACTTGGGGGAGAGGGATGGCCATGATATCAGTATATGAGTAGCATTTGCAAGCCTGTCATGTAAAAGAAGTATTAAACCAGTTATTCTCAGCTCCATAGAGAGAAAGTAGGAGCAACCAGTTGAAGTTGTGAGAAGCAGATTTTGGCTAGATATAAGAAAAGGCTTCTTAACAATTAGAGCTGTTGAAAAGTGGAACGGGGAAGGGAAGGAGTATTGAGGTTTCCTTTCCCTATAAGTCCTTCAGTAAAAGACTAGATTTTACCTTCAGAGTGTGGCTGTATAGGGGATTTCTGTTCACGTGCACGTTTTGGCAGACGTACTTAGCTCCTTACAATTCTGCAATCCTGCCCAATAGCACAATAGCCATGTAAGCCACAATGCAGGCAATCCTGTCCCCTGAATGTCAGCACTGGGCACAAAGTAAAAGCTTAATAAACATTAAGTGCCAGAGGGAGGGGGTGACTTGGCCTGAGTCAGATGGTGGATCAGCTGATGTCACTCTCCCTCTGATTAGGAGGCCTTCTAGTCATCCTTCCTTGTTAGAGTAAAAAAAAAAAATGTTCTTGAAATCCCACCTTCTCCATAAAGGAAGCCTTCCCTGAGAATGAATATTCAGCCTCCTGCTCTGTGTACTGGGTCCCTTTTTCAAGGGCAGTGCTTCCCACTGAGTAGGGATACAATAGATATGCATGGAAGTCCTAAGGCTACCACCCCTCCATATACTCATAAGCATATGGAGATCACAGCAGTGGTGGTGGTGTGAGTCCATGAAGACAAATATCCAATGTGGCCCAAGGGATTTTGAGCTGTTATTACTTCCATCATCATCACCCTGTGTGTCTGTAAGGGCTTTCCCTATTCCAAGGTCTTGGGGTTCCCAGGTTCTACCTCATGTATCATTACTGCTATACAAATCAACTCATCTTCTTACTCACCTCTTGCGTACTACACACATTCCAAATATTCACTTCTCAATATCATCTGTGGGGACAATATGATACCAAGCTCAAGATCTCTTGGCCTACACTGGATATTTGTCTTTATGGACTCACACCAGCATCACATAATATTGTGCATGCTAGCTATCTATGTTTGTCTTATCCTCCTCTACTAGACGGTAAGCTCAGTGAGGGCACACTTTGTCTTATCTAATCTTTGCACCTATCCAAGAGCCAAGCATGGAGTTATGCACAACACTGGTGCTTAATAAATCTTCACTGAATTGAATTGAGCCACTTCATTGTACAGAAGAGTAGACTGGAGTCCAGAGAGGATTCAGAATTCAGTGAAGTCTCCATAGCAACTTTTTAGATAAGGCTAGAACCCGAAGCCAGGTCTTATTGTAAAAGCCCTTTTGATATTCTTTTACTTAAGGGAAACAGGCTTTCCATTTGACAGATACCATTCCCTCTCATTGGTTCTCTTCATCTATAGCCAAGTGAAGCCTGTCAGCAGGCCTGAAGATTTTTCTGGTGTGCCACTGGGAACAGCATGCTATCACATGTGCTAGAGAGAAGGATTGCTTTACTTTTTTATGAAGAGCAGTAGGATGAACTCTTGTTCCATCCCCCAGTAAAAGCTGTCGAGCAAGCCTGGCCCAGAGAGAGTGAGGCTCATGGTCCTGTGCCCAACAGCAGTGTTCCCTGTGATGAGGGCAGTAAGCACAGAGATGTCCCAGGGATCTTTATGAAGCTTCTTAACCATATACAGCCTGTGATAGATCCCCAGCTCTGGCCTTCCAAATAATACCCCCATCTCTCTAGAGTATGAACCATTTGGTAGGAGGATAGGGACCTGCTGCTTCTGCCTTGTGGCCAGGCCCTGCCCCTCCTCCCACCCCTATTCCTGCTGCTTGTCAGCTGGTATAGCTATCTGGGGCTGGGCATATTGCCCAAACCAGGTGGTGAACTGGGCCCAGAGCCACCAGGCCTCCTTCCTATCCCAGATTAATGCCTTCCAATTGGCTTGTCTGCCAGTGAGAATGAGCACGGTCCTTCTCCCCTGTCCCCAAGCTCATAGTCCACAGTACCAAGGGGATTAACCTTCATCCATAAGCCAAACAAATACACCTCTCTCTTTCTCTAAATTAGAGAATGTGACCAATATTAGTCTCTTTCTTCCTTGGGAATAAGGGAGGACAGGAAGGCCTAAGAATGACTTCTATGCTAAAGAGTAGGGGCTAAGAAAGGCAATCCAAAGCCCAGAGGCTTGCTCTGCTGCATTCTAGAAGGAAATTCATGTTTATTGTTTCTCCTCTCTCTTGCAGGAAGCACATGTTACTCCTGGGGCTGGAATGAGCATGGCATGTGTGGAGATGGCACCGAAGCCAATGTCTGGGTCCCGAAGCCAGTGGAATCTCCAAGTTTAACCCTGTGGCTCCTTGTGGGTTGTGGAGCTGGTCACTCCCTCGCCCTTGGCCAAGCCCCAGCTTCCGCATCATTGCCCTGTAGCCCCCAGGACACAGAGTCAAGCCCAAATCCCTGGAGAGCTCACAGCAAGAGAAACCAAAGGGAAGAAGCACAAACGTTGTTCCCACACCACGCTAGTGTGTCCTAAAATAGGAGATTTAGTGCTTAAAGGTCTTTTTAATAAAATCCATTTGGACAATTTTGTCCCTGAAAATATGTGTGGCAAAAGGGATGGGCTTGGTCATTGGGACACAGCAGGTAAAAATGAGTAAGTATTTAGGAAGTGCTGACCATTTGACCAGCTGGATGACAGATAGGGAAAAGACAATTTCTGGAACATCCAAGAAACTTCATGCTTCAGCAAATGAGAATGAAATCAAAGGGGCACCTTTAACAGCCTCTGAAAGGTAACAAGCTTATAATGCATATAGATTGGGGAACAGAGATTAGAGTTCCATCTGTTCTCTGCAGGGTCAGGTCATCTTCCTTCTACCAGCCTCCATTGCTGCTGAAGCCAGTAGCCTCTTCCCATTGATCATGGAATTGTGATTTTGCAAAAGACTTCAGAGATTATCCAGTAGAGGGATTCTTAACTTTTTGTGTGTCATGGAGCAATCTGGCAGCCTGGGGAAACCAATGGATCCTTTCTCAAAATAATATTTTCAATGGATAAGAATAAAATACATAGAATTACAAAGGAAATTGATTATATTGACCTACAGTTATCAAAGTACATGTTTTTAAAAGACAAGTTCATGGTCCTAGTTAAAAATCCTTGATCTATTCAATGGTAAGATTTCCCTCATGCTAGGCAAGACTGGATTCTATAAGTACTCTGTGTATCTATTATTTTCCATCTTTATATAGTATGTACCATGGTTTGGTAAAGTAATCTATACCCTCCAAATGTCTGGTTATGGATGCTGCTACTGGTGAAGTCACTTTTGAAAAGCAGATCATTGGGGCAGCTAGGTGGTGCAATGGATAGAGCCCTGGCCCTGAAGTCAGGAGGACCTGAGTTCAGATCTGACCTCAGACCAAATACTTGACACATATTAGCTGTGTGACCCTGGGCAAGTCACTTAACCCCAGTTGCCAAAAAAAAAAAAAGAAAAAAAAAGCAGATCATTGATGAGAGCACAGCCTCTGAAGAGCATCCCCCCACCTCCAAACTTTTAGATGGGGACAGAAGAACTGAAAGCAAAAAGCCCTCAGTAGCAGGGTCCCCAATAATTCTGTCACAAGTATGAATTCTTTTTCTAGCTAGAGATTACCAGGGCTTGGAGAACCTGGACCCAAAGACAGTTACCTCAATCAGAAGACTCCAGCTGCTTGCCTTGCTTTTGACTCTGGGTGTTTGAAATGGAACCCGCAACTAAGTCATTCCCTTGGTCTGGAGTGGCTCCAACCTTGGGCATATAGGCTACGTGATATCCCACTCCCAGGTATAACACCAACTGGGGAGTCAGGAGACCTGGGTTCCAGCTCCAGCCTTGGCACAAACTAGTTCTGTAACCTTAAGCTAGTCTCTGTCCTTTGCTGGGCCTCAGTTTCCTTCTCTGTAAAATAAGGCAATTTGATTCAGCTAACCTTTGGTAAGCTCTTATTGTATGCAAGACTGGATTAGGGAGTTGAGATATAACGGTAGATTAGACACAAACTTTGCTCTCCATGAGTTTACAATCTAACGGGAGAAGAACACGTACACATGTGAATAGTCCCACAGCTCTGCTGGCTCCTGGATTCCACCTGGATGACTTGTTGGCATCCTAAAGTCAACATGTCCAAAGTAGAATTCATCATCTTCCATCCTAAATTCTCGCCTCCTCCAAATCTCCGAATTTCAGTTGAGGATATCGCTATCCTTGAAGTCATTCAGGTTTATAATCTTAAACTCATCTTTGATTCTTCCTTCTTCCTCAAGCCCACCCCCAAATCTAATTGATTCTACTGCTGCAATTTCTCATTTGTTCGTTTCCTTCCACACGTATCGCCTTTCTTTGTATCTCCACCATTTACACAGTGCCTGAAGTGTAGTAGGCACTTAATTAATTGACTGATTGACTCCTCTGACTATCTCCCTACTTTAGAACTTCTATCACTTCTTGGCTGGACTATCGTTACTACCTCTTCATTGGTCTTCCTACCTCCAGTATTTCTCCTTTCTAATCTAGTCCTCCCAAATCTATCAAAATGATCTTCCTAAGACATAGATTTTCCCATGTCATTCCCCTACCCCAAAAGTCTTAGATGGCTTCACATTGCCTATCAAATAGAAGAAAACTGATTGGCTTATTATTCAAGGCCACCTGCAGTTTGGTTCCAACCAACTTTTCCAGACTTATTTCATATAACTCTTTTACCCATTCAATAGCCCCACAAAATTGGACTAGCACTAATCCACATGTTCAGCATTCAATCTTTGGCTTTCTTAAATCCATGCAAGCATCCTCTTGGAATCCTGATCTTCTTTCAAGACTTAGCTCAAGTGACTTATCCTTGCAGCCAAGCTTACATACTCTCATGTGTGCACATGTGCATGGGATTCTATTTGGAGAAGAGTATCTACCCATTGCTTGGTGGTTCCTTTGTCAGGAGCTAATTGGGGGCATCACTCTCCAATCCAAAGCATAGTTCCCTTGGAGTCATAAGGAATTGCAGGCAAAGCTCTGTTAGATGTCCAAGGGCTTATGTAATTGTTGGTGCCTGCAGCGCATTGATCCAGCTCCTCCTTTGGGAAGGTCTGTGTCCAAAAGAGCTAACTGAAACTGAGCAGCATAATATTGAAGTCTCACTTTTGGATCAGAATCTTCCATGACTGTCACTTTTCTGATGCCATCTTTCCTTCTACTTGAATGACAGCATAAGATCATAGCTTTTCTTCAATTCCACAAACATTAATTAAGGACCTAGGATGGACAAGGCATTGTCCTTGGCACTGGGGATGAAAATGGTAAGCAAAATATAATTTTCCTGAGGTCAGGAATCATTTCATATTTATTTTTGTATCCTCAGCTCTTAGCAAGGTGCCTGGCACACACTAGGGACTTAATACATTAGAATCAAAGAGCTAGAAGGTACCTCAGTGGCCATCCAGTTCAACTCCCTTATTTTAGGAAATTGAGGCTAAGAGGTTAAATGAATTGCCCAAGATCACATAGGTGGTAGTCATCAAAGATGGGATTTGAACCAAAGTCCTTTGATTCCAGAGTCAATACTCTTTCCAGGGCACTAAACTGTTGAATGAATTGAAGGTGCTTATAATCTATTAGAAGTAATAAGAAATACACAAATAACTATAATGTAATTTAGAGCATGAGTGTGAGCTAAGGCTTCATGAAGCAATTAACACCTGAGTTAGGCCTGGAAGGAAAAGAAGGATTGTAGTAGGAGGGAGAGATGTGTGTTAAGACCATTCCTGTCATAAGGGCCATCCTGCATGGAGAAGCCAGGACAAGTTAGAATTTGGGGAGCAATTAGTAGTTCAGTTTGTCTAGAGCATAGAGTGCAGAATATAAATGAGGAATGTAAGTTGGAAAGGTAGTTTGGAGTCAGATTGTGGAAGACCTTGAATACAGAAGTTTATCTTTTATTTGGTAAAGGATGGGGAGCTTTTGATGGCTTTTGAGCAGGGAAGTCACAGTTTGGCATGTGCCTTAGGAAGATCACTCTATCAGAGAGAGAAACATATATTGGAGAGGAAAGAGACTAGAGGAAAGGGTTAGAAAGGGTAGAACTTAGAGGCAGAGAGAGATAAATCAGAAGGCTAAAGCCTGGTAGATCAGGTAAGAAGTAAGGTGAGTTTGCACTGGTGCTAGTGAAGAGGGAATGGATTCCAGAGATACTATTAAAATAAAAATGATAGAAATAGGCAACTGACTGAAAGGTAGGAAGTGGAAAGAAGGTTGAAAAACCAAGAATAATTCTAAAGTTTCAAACCAGGTTGACTGGGAAGTTGATGTTGTCACTAACATATAAGGAAGCAGGAAAGAAGGGCAAGTATTTGAGAAAAGATTCCAAGTTCAGTTTGAGTCATATTGAGTTTAAGATAATTGGCAGAATATTTGGGGATGGTACTGTAGGAAATTAAAAATGCATGATTAGAGATCAGAGGATGGGTCAGGGTGGGAGATACAGATTTTAGCAACCATCTACAGAGAAGTGATCATTGAAGACTTGGGAGTGAATAAACCATCAAGGGAAAGAATGTAGAAAAAGATAAGAAGAGAATTGAGCAAGGAACTTTGAGGGATAGCTGCATTTATGGGGCAGAAGGAGAAAGAGAAGCCTCCCAATCAAAGATGAGAGAAGAGAGCCAATTGTAATGGAATCCAATGGAGAAGAGGATATCAAGAAAATGGAGTGGTCCACTAGAGTTACCAAAGTGAAAAACAAAAAAAAAAAGCTATAAATTGACAACAATAAAAATTAACTCACCTATGGGATAAAATGCTGCCCAGGCAAATGTTGACAGTTTGGCAATTCTATCTTCAGTTGTGCCAGCTATTGTAAAAATGTCAAGGAAAATAAGCCTTGGGGAGAGGGGGACAAGAAGGAGCTTTGGATTTGTTGATAAGGAAATCATTCATGACTTTGGAAAGGGTCTGGTGGCTAAAGACAGAAGGAACGGTGAGAAAAATGGAGAAATTAGAAAAACGTTGCTTTTTCTAGAAACTTAGCACAAAACAAGAGGGATAAGAAGATGACAGGAAGATTTTGGAATAGATGATACCAGAATCAGGAAAGGAGAAGAAAGGAGTAGAGAAGAAAACTTGAAGATGAAAGGAGGTGGGAGTAGTTGAAAGAATAAAAATCCAGAAGAGAAAGGAAGAGTTGGAACTTAAGAGCACAAATAAAGGTGTTAAAATTGGCAAATTGGAGGACCACTTCGTCCTCTGAGGGAAGGAAGAGAGGATAGGTGAAGACAGTTTAAAGTGTGGGGAAGGAAAATTAAGAGAATATGAACTGACCTTTGTTCTGCTGCTATCATTCAATGACATTGCCTTCTTTGAGGTTCACGACAACTGACTCTATCACCCTCTCTTGACATGCCACAATCTTGTATCAATGACCAACACAGTCTCCTACTTTCCTCAATGACTTCAATTCTTGGCTTACAGTAACCTTCTCCAACTCATCCCCTAGCATCATGCTTAGTGACTTCAATATTTGTGTGGAAGAGCCTTCTAATACCTATTGAAG